CTTTCCCTATCCTCTGCTTACTCATCCAAATCTATCATGAGAATTTCTGTTGCCTTAAAGTTAACGTGAGTATATAATGTGGCCTTGGATGGAAATGAGTGTGGAACGTATCTTCTCATCAGCCTATTTCTGTGAAGTGTGTAGAAATGTATATCCCAGTCAAACCTGGTGGTTGAAATTGATTAGTGACTTAAAATAATTGGGCAAAGTGAATGCATATGGATGCATTTTGCCTGTGATCATATAAGCCTTTTTTCCTTAAGAAAGCTAGGCTAAAGTATCTGTTGCCTATATGGGATATTTTGGTCTTACTCTTTAGAAAAAGCTGATATGAGAGTGAAGGGTATTTTTTTTTTTTATTTTCAGTCAAACCCTTAAACTGTTACTTTCTAACATCTGCACTGTGTAGCTTAATATTCCTGTAGAAGTATTTTTGGAAGTTTTTTTTAATCTATGAACTAATAGTTTATTTGAGGGATTACTGCCTTTTTTTCTAAAATATACATGAAGAAGAAACAAAAATAATTATGTCTTTCAATATTGCTAAATAAGCAAGGAGTTGATAAAAAAGACAAGCAAGTAATACTGGGGTTCTGATTTTTGCATACCTGAGAGTGGAGCTGACAGTGAGGCTATATCCTGTCTGTACTTTGTCTAACTCTTCTGTTTTTAGGGAATAATTGACTACTCCCTTTGCCCCTGTTTTGGGGGCTGTATGTTAAGTAAACTGACTTAAACAATGAAGGGTGGAAGTACTATAATCAGTCTGCTCATCAGCTTTTGTGAAGGGGAAAAAAAAGATCTTGGTCATCTGATTGGTCTTGTGCCTGGTGCTAGATTCCACATGGAGGTAATGAGACTATGGGATGTGTATGCCTCTCTAACTTGCCTATAGATATGCTTGATCTCATCAAATGAGACTTTACTATGATGGATCGCTTCTGTAGTGTGAAAGACTGTTTTATGTGAAATTCAGAGCCTGAAAATTAAGACTTCATTAAAATAAATTTGATCTACTAGGCATGTAAAGTTTTGTTTGATAGATTTTTGGGTAACTTAGCTTGTTGCTGTCTGGTACTAGAATCTGCTCAAAGTTCTGAAAGATTGCAGCAGTCTTTAATTAGAGTGTGCAAGGGCACCTCAGCAGGCTTCTAACAAGTGCTAAAGTAGAAGCCAATTTATAAAACCTAGTTCACTCCTTATACGGAAGTTGGTGTACATAAACAACACCTAACTAACAGTAAGCTCACTTTAGTGCAGAACACAGGAGTTACGTGAATTTAAGTTTCCTCATGAACAGATAACACAGGCATGCTTATCAAGCATGCTGTTAGTCTTGGTGGCTGGATACAGGGCTGGATTGTCTCAGTCTGCCTAAAATGAGTTATTTGTAGTTCTGGCTTGGAGTCCTGAGGTCCAGACTACTGACCCTGCTGTGCCAGTCCTAGGGATAAGAAAAGCTTTGCTCTTGTGTGATGCAGATTAAGGATATAGAGCTATTCCTTAACTTTGTTGTTGAAAGGAAGGATAGCCTGTTACCTGTTTAATAAACCAGTGGGGCTGCTTCAAGAATGATTCTAATATTGTCTATTGGAAAGAGGGTGCAAATAAATAGCCAACTATCTAACCAAACAGGGATGCAGTTAGAAAAGGATATCAGATTCATGAGGTAAACTAGAAACAAATCTATTGATGGCTCTAACTTCTCCTGCATTCTGTTCAACTGGATTTTTTAAAACTTACATTGGCAGTGGGTTGAGAAACTAGTAAAAGACTTAAAGCAGATGGTGTAGTTGCAGCTCTTTGTACATGTGAGGTGTGTAGGATCTTTGGGCAACTATCAACAATGATATCGGGTCTCATCTCATGCAGGTTAACTTAATGCTGGGACTCCCTTTGAAAGGGAAGACTTGAAAAGAAATGTCTGGCACTCCTAGCGTTTTGGAGGCAGCGTATTACAAACACATCAACCTGTTTCCTCACTGTTAATGGCAAAACAGCCCTTAGCATTGTTCTGTGGTCTAGATATGTGGTCTGTATATTGGACCCTCACATATTATGAGTACACAAAGTACACATGCATCTGAGTACCTTGCAGTATAGATGGGAATCTCTTTTTTTCTGTCGAAAGGTATTTAAAAGGAAAGAGTAAAGTCTTCCAGTTTGATAAGATCTTTGGGTTTTGAAAAAAGGTGCTTATTTAGTGCCGTTCTGATTATGTTGAAAGGGGAGGAGATCTCTAAAGCTCAAGATAAAGCACAAAGAAGAAATCAGCCTTGCTTTACTTGTATTGACTTTCGTCTGCAAGTCTTTGAGTGTACTTCTAAAGCAGTTACCCGTGGCAACTAACTGTGTGACTATAGCGGGAGGCGGGAGTTGATGGTGCTTACTGCATTATTGATCTACGACTGTTAACAGTATATGGAATACAATAGCTTCAAAAATTCTTGTCTTTCGCTTGTAAAGGGGTTTTGTGGCCTTCCATCCATTCTCCACCTTCATTCTCTGTAAGGCATGATTTAGGAAAATTACTAAATGAAACATCATTTTGATGGGAAATCAGTGTGGTCTTGACCGAAGTCTATTGTGCAATATGTTAAACCAAAAACTATTAATAACAGTTGTACTCTCACCCCCTGGATGTGGTCTATCTAGGTCAAGGATGATGCAATATGACTGAGCTGAGCACCAGATTGCTACCTGTGCTGTGTTGCACTGTTGTACCCTGTGCCGGTTTTTTCCATTTGTTTCAACTTGTCAACTACATCATACGAAAAGCATTTTGTGTAGCTGAATGTAAGGCTAACCAAGCCTCTGTGCACTGACGTGTAGGCTGACTCCCTTTGGAATTAGGAAGGAATGTCCTTTCCTCTTGCAGCCGTGATAAGTTATGTGCTTGAATTCTGTGCAGTAGCTTGAGGAGACTAAATCATGTGTCATGGAGTATCTTGGAGAAGTGGGCAAATTCTGGGTTAGCAGAATTGTTTTACTTGAGATGGAATATCAGCAGTATCTTAGTCTCATTTATTAGTTTCATCATAGTTGGAGATCAAGTCTCAGTAATCTGATTGGTCTGTAAAACCTAAAACTTCTCAGAAAAGAAGAGGAAAAATTTACAGAAACAATGTAAACCCTGTATTTTTCTTATAAGAATTAAATAATGGAAAAATCACAACATTTTCACTATAGTCTTTCTATGTCTACAGTATTTCAGGATCTGTAAGGACAAAATTGTCTTAGGTTGTGAATTCTGAAATGTTGTGAACTCTGAGACTTGACAGACAGCTTTTATCTTCTGGGATGTTTGAGGAGTACTGCTAGGTGGTACAGTTGCCACAAACTGACTAAGTTGAAACTATGGTGCTAGTACAATAGAAGGAAATATCAATTGAAGTACACTTAAATTTAAGTTCTCATGCCTAATGCAGTGAAGCAGTATTTCTCCTTTTGCTGGTAAGGTCCTGGTTCAGTACTATGTCCAGCTTTTGGCATCATGTGAAGTAAGATGTGAACATACTGGGCCATTTTAAGATCATGCTCATTGACAGAAAAAAGGTTGAAAGGCGTTAGGGTTCTGTTACTTAGATAAGAAAAGAATGAAGGAGGGCATAGTATTCCAGCTTATAAAAGGCTACAGTAAAGAAGATGGTAATTGTTTGTTCTTTATTATCACTAAGAGAATTGCAAGAAATAGTATACCTACTTCGAAATAAGGATGACCCAGACAGGTGCATGGTAGGGGGGGAGGGGGGCGGGGAGAGAAAGAGGGAAGGAAGGCATAAATTTAAGGGCAGTTAAGTGCTGGAACAGATTGCTGAGACAAAGTTTTGTCTTCCCTTTATGAACAATTTTGAAGGAAGGGTGAATGAAAACTTGTTCTGGCTGTGCCTCCCTGTATATCAACAATATTTGATTTAGAGGACGCTTTGAGTTCCTCTACGGAGTTCTGTGATTATAGTCTGATTCTTGTAAATACTGAATAAAAGATGCATTTGCTGAATACTTGTTTCTTCACTTAAATAAGCTTGCAGAGTAAGCACAGTATTTTAATCTCTTGTGCTTATAATCTACAGCTGGTCCTGTTCAGAGTTTGACTTGAATGAGATCCGTCTGATAGTTTACCAAGACTGTGAGAGAAGAGGCAGACAGGTCTTATTTGATTCCAAAGCAGTCCGCAAAATTGATGAAGCTGTGGTTCAGGTATGAAATGCTAATTTTGCTTCTGTTCCACCAAGCTGTTATTTCCCTCCCCCAAAGTAGGAGTTTTAAACTGACAATATCAAGTTCTTAACCTTGTTTGTGATCTTTCACTTTGTCTGAATTCTGTAATAACTACAAGAAGAGTATTTTAGATTCCAAAAAGTCAGTGAAAACATATCTGGTATTTGGCATCTTTAGATATAAATATGGTACTGATACTGAACAATTTAGGCCCTGTCTTGATTTCAGACAAAGCAATCTATACCCTTTAATTTGAATATTTCCTTTAATATTGAATAGGATTGCTTTTTGTTGTTAGCCCTGGTTGTACAGTCCCATTTTTCTAGTGATGTCTAGCATGCCTCTAAAAGAGCTGATCTTCCTTTAGTATTTGGATCAGTACAGTTGTTGGCTTTGTGTGAATTTAAAACAACTCTACTTCAGCTAACCACTTAATGTGCAAGACTGATGCATAATAATATATGATCACAAAACAAACTTCTGATGACACAAACAGAAGCAAGAATAGATGCTGTCAAGATGCAAATTCTTGGCACACAAATTACGGAGTAAAGTTTTGGCAAACTACGGTGACTTTAAGTCAAGCAAAATAATAATTTTTCCCTACTAGCTCTGTGCTGCTTTTTCAGCATTGAATTGTTTCAAAAAAAAAAAAAACCAAAAACAAAAAAACAAAGATATATATTTTTGTTTTAAAGTTTTTGCTACAACCAGTTTTAGTCTAGCAGACGAGCATGGTCACTAGCTATATAGTTTAGAAATAGCAGTGATTTATAGAAATGACTCTTATTAAGATGCTTAAATAACAGCAATTTCTAGCTTAAGTAGCATCAATTTCTAACTATTTCAGTCACACTGCAAAGATATCCTTGTGGGCTTAAGCCAAATCAGTAAGGCTGAGCATCATCTGCTGATGACTTATCCTCTATCTACTTATGAGGATAAGTGGGTCAGATTGGTCTGTTAATCTTTTTTTCTCCTTGAGTTACAAGCCGCATTATCAAGGTTGTTACTTGGTATCTCAAAGTTCGTTTAAAAAACATAGCATGTGAAGGGGAAATGTGTGAAAAATGTATTTGACTTCATTTAAATACTCAGCTTAATTTCACTTACTTTAATATTTTAAAAAAGTTAACTACAAAATGTCCCATCAAAAACTCTATGCAACACTGACATAAAACAGATCATAACCCGCCTCATAACGTGATGCAGGATATAATCTGTTTTCTAGTCAGATGCTAATCTATGTACCCCCTAAATAAGCCAAACAATTTTGAATGGCAAGTAGACACCTAGGTATTAGAAGCAGTCTTGAATGCTTGGTCCTATTTGTTGTTTGGAATGTTATCAAGCAGTGATCCTAGTACTTAATTCATTTAAGCTGAAGGCAAAATTACTCTTAAGCTCAGTCCTGCTTAAACTGAAATCAAGAATATGTGTGTGTACTGTGCATTTATCCATCTTCCAAAACACAGTAGAGCTTCTCCACATCAGCTCTTCAAATACACTATGTTTGTCTTGTTAAGCACGTGACTACTAACTTTTTTGTATTTGTAGCCACCTAATGATGGTCACATTGGGATTAGATAAGCAGCAGTTACATAAATGCCATGCCAAGAAAAGCTGCACAAAAGGAGTGCAAATGTGGGGATAAAATATGAAAGACAGATCAGGCTACATGTGCATAAAGGATTTTGCTTTTTTATAACATGCTAAGTTTATTTTTAAATTAGTAGAGGAGCCTGTACTGTCACTGTAACTTAAGCTTTTACAATAATGGCATGTAAATTATTTATTCCACTTTTCTTGGCTCACTGTTCCCTTTTGCTTCTCTATCTTCCCTTTTACCCATTCCAGCTCCTTGTCATTGAGACTTGAGTGTTCTAAAACTTGCTACTTACTGCATTGCAGTATTCAAAGTGTTCATCTGAAAATCAGTCTTTCTAGTGCAGTATTTGGATTCTACTTTTACTTCAATTTCATTTCCTATTACAGTTCCTTTCTTGTCTTACTGAGCCCAAAATGCTTGACATAAATTGGGCTATAGCTGGTTTTTATAGTAGCGCCTTGGTTATTGCTATTTCTTTTTCTGCCTGCTTGCTTTTTTTTCCTGTAACCATTTATCTGCTGATGTCTTATTCACTTTTTTAAAAAAAAAAAAAAAGTTAAACTCTGTGAGCGCATGTTCCCAATAAGGTAAAACATATTGGTACAAAATGAGACCTGCAAAATTGTCATTTGTTCTACTGTGCACCTGTTCTACTGTTCATACTGTACTGTATGTGTACATTGATTTACATTCAATATACGTTCATTAAGTAATCTTTAATTTCTTAAGTATATAACAAGTTTAATAATATGAGATGAGCTTTCTGAGACTTTCTAAGCAGTTTGCATTGCTGCAGGGTTGCAATTTTATTTCCTTAATATAAATTATTTCAAATGCACCTGACCGACATTCTAAATAATATGGCCCTTTTAAATTGATGTCTAGTGGCCTTTCAACTTAAAATCTGTTAAAGAAAACAAGAACCAGGTTGCTTTTTATTCAAGGTAACCTTGTTTATGAAGGGAAATTCCTAAATTCCTACTAAATACTGCTTTTCTTATGAAACATGTACAAATAGTGTCAATGTAATCAATATTTTGCAAGGCTTACTTTAAATTTTTTTGTTGTATTCTGAGAGGTTGTTACAACATAGTGGTTTGAGAGTAATCTTTGAATTAAACAGTCACCTGGATTTGAACATTTATTTGCTTATTTGTTACAACTTTTATACAGGTTTTGAAAAAGGATTTTATAACCTGATAATTCTACCAAATGATGCATTGTTCACTTTTTTTTTTTTAACTGGCTGTTCTTCTGTTTAAGGAATCTGTTATCAGTTGCAGAGCAAAAATAATATGCAATTTGAGTGGCTCGTTGTGCAAACGGTTGCCGAAGGTAATTTGCAAGCCACCTATAAGCTGAGATTTGTTTACATAAATTTTGGCAAATGTTGCACAGAGCGTGTATTCATAACAATTGGGAGTGATCTTCTCAAACTTTATCTGACTTACTACTGTGAGCATGAATATGATACTATGCTTATTTCTCTAAAAAGGATTTAAATATCAGAGTAATTCTGCACTTCCTCTGTGACATTGGCTTTTTTCTTTAAAAACCTAAATGTATTTTTTGATCCAGATAAGCGTATTTTGTGTTTTTTGTTGCTGAACTGTATTTTAACAAAAATCTTCCCATGGTATATGTACAAATGGGAATTTCCATATTTTCTTTCTTTTCATCATATCGCTCTGTTTTGACACAGAGGATGACAGAGGATGCTGCTGTAAAGGCTTCTGCCAAGAACTGCCAAGCAAGCAATGGGAACAACAGTGTTTCTTCCCACAGCCCCTCAATGAGTTGTGTGCCAAATATCAAAGAGCAGATACCGAAGTATCAGGTAATGTTATCCATCACTTTTCTTGGATGTTTTTACTGAACAGCTTTTCTGTAAGCCTTAACTTTACCTGTGCTGAATGGCTACTTATACTTCTAGCATATAACAAATTTGTCTGAAGGGTGAAATTTCTATCCAATCTTTGAAGTGTTGTGGAGTAATAACATCTGGGTACATCTTAAGCTTTTAGTCTGTCTTGACCTTATTGGAAATTTTACAGGAAAAATTAATAGCGTTATTGTTTAAGTCATAAAGTGATATACAGCTGTCTCTTTTTCTGTTAAAAGAAGTCTATCTATGCTTCTAACAAGTTCTGAAGAAGCTGTTGAAAACAGTGACATGAATTTTGTAAAAGAAACTAAGAATTTTTTAGATGCTCTGGCTGTTCCTCAGTAAAAGCATAAGTACTTCATCTGGAATAATGTAATTTGAAGCATGTATAGATTAGTGTAGAAAAAAAACTTAGGTTAAATTAGAAAGCAAACCATTTCCTTTACAAACGGCAAACTTCTCCCATATCTGCTATTGATGATGGGTCTTCGAAATATGAGGAGAAATAGGACTTGTTATGCTCAGAAACAGTCTCCGCAAATTATTTTGCAATCAAATATGCTTCCAAGAAGCTTTTTATAAGGTCATTGAAGGAGGACTTAGTTTGAATCAGGAAAAGCGTTTGCTGCTTGGGGATCCAGACCACAGAATATTAAGTCCTGTGAACATTATAGTCTCATTTAGGCACTCTGTTATATGAGAATGTTGCTGGGCCACAGCTATTTTTCCAATGTGCAGTAATTTTTTTTTTTCCTTTCTTGTATCTGTGAGTTCCCATGGAACAAGGGTAGCAGTGGCCCTTCTAGCGAGCAAAACAGAGGGTGGTCGTGTTGTACTTGCACTTTGTGTAAAAGCCACACCAGATCTGTCATTCTACACGGAAAAGCAGAACTTGTTTGTATTCTCCATCCGAAATGTAGTACTATGGCACTATGTTAACTTAAGAGTGTGCCAGCTTTTTACTGCTCTTCCTATCTTCTTGTCTATTTAGTACACCAGACCAGCCTCTGATGTCAACATGCTGGGAGAAATGATGTTTGGCTCAGTGGCAATGAGTTACAAAGGTTCCACCTTGAAAATTCACTATATACGGTGAGTGTTTTCTTCTGTGATACACCGTCTTGTTAGGCACTTGGAATTTATGACTCACTTCAATGACTGTTTATCCTTTCAGCTCTCCCCCACAATTGATGATAAGTAAAGTCTTCTCCGCCAGGGTAGGAAGCTTCAGTGGAAGCAACAATAAGTAAGCGTCTTTTTTTTTTTTTTTTTTTCCTCCCCTCCCCTTGCCAATGCTATCTTCTTTCCTATCCTACTGTTTTTTCTCCTTTTGTAGCCCTTCTGTCACTGCCTCTAAATTTGACTTAGCTGAAGTGGAAAGGTCTAGCGAAAAAAGAGAAATGAAGTATGCATTATGGAGAAGTATTCAAATGATAGAGCTTAGCTATTCCACCCAAATTAAAAAAAATAAAATCTCAGCTACTTTCCACTACTTAATTTGTCCAGAGCATGCAACAAACTTCAGAGGTTAGATGCTTTAAACACTCAAAGCCTCTATCTCTTCTGACTGCCAGAAGGGTAAAGAAGGGAAGGTGTATGTTGAGGTAGCTTTTTTTAATCCCTGTACCTCACTCCTGTTTCCTTCAACAGTGACAGAGGATGTAGTGTTTCCTCATCTGTTCTCATTTTACTTATCTCAGAAATAAGCAAATATGAATAAACTGAATCTTAAATGTGACAGAGAAAAGTTTACAATAATTCAAAGAGGGAGCTTACTGCAGAAAATAAATGACTGTTTCTTTATGGCCTCAGAAAGCCTACTGGTCCTTGAGTTTGGTTGTGAAGTTAATCTTCAGCCTTCTCTTTTCTTATTAAAATGAGCTTACTCCTCAAGCTAACACTGACCTTTAACCACTTGCTTTAGAAACACTGGCTTTTTCCCCTTTTTTAGCTTACAAGATAGCTTTGAATACATCAACCAAGATCCCAGCCTGGGAAAGTTGAGCTCTAATCAGAATGGTTTGGGAACCTGTCGCAGTGGAAGTAATTTAGGTAAATATTTTCAGGTTCTATGTCCTTCTCACAACATGAAGCCATCTGTTCATGTAGTTTGAGTTCTTCCCCCGCCCCCACCCCTCCGTGCATCTTTTTTTTTTTTTTTTTTTTCCTGCATTGCATTTTCTCTACATTGCTTTTGTTTCCTAGGTGTGTTACAGCTGTGTAGCAGCAAACTGCTGCAGGGTGTGTCTGAAGGAGGCCCCCTCCGGCTCATCCGCAGTGCTTCTTTCTTTGCAGGTTTGTGTGGAATGCCAACCACAGTGTGACCCATCCACATGCACACGCAAATCCGCACCTTCTGAATCCTCACTGGGGATCCATAATTACTCTTTAGAAATAAAGGGCTAAGACAGTGAAAACAGCCAAAACTGGCTTTATACTTAAATTTTTTTTCCAAAAAAACTGACTGAATTAATTACTTCTTGTTCACTTTCTATTTCCAACTCCTGTGTTTAATTTTAAGAATTATTTTTTAGTATCTGATAATAAATGAGCCCTTACATTTCTTAGAGAACTTATGTTTCCTGGTTTATGTCTGGTTTCTTGCTGGTGTGCAGCTTTTTCTTCTTTCAGCTTTTGAGCTGTCTGGGAGCCTTTGAGGCTTTTTCTTTTTAACAATATCAATTTATTTAATTGTCAAACTTCAAACTATTTTATGTAAAGTCTCCTCTTACAGGCATATTGATGACCTATGCAGGTGGGTAGATCTTAGGCTTAATTAGTTCTGTTAATTGCAAAAATGTACACTAGAACACCAATGCAGTTTCTTCACAGCCTGTGCAAAATCTTGCATGCCTTGCAGTTTGAGTGACTCTGCACTACTAACAATCTTCAATATAGTACAACATAGGCTGAGTGTTTCTTACTGAGAGGCTTTGAGAATAGTAAATATCTAACTGGGAAGCAAATCTGAAACTTAATGGAACTTGTATTTGACTGATCTGTTACAAGGTTAGCCTGTTCAAAATGACAGTTGCTACCTCCCCTCCCCCAGTGCAAAAAATCCAAGAGTGACAGGTGGGGGTAGCATCTGTCCTTATTTCAGAGCCCGTCTGACTTCCAGCAATGTAAACCGTATTCACGTTCTCAGGGTTCTTAGACATCTTTAGTTTGGGGCAAGTAACCAACTTTCTTTGGTAATACAATATTCAGTATAGAAATACTGTTTGCTATCATCTCTGCTCACACCATACTCTACTTATTTGGAGTAGCAGTACAGGATGTAACTTTGCTGTTGTATGACCTTTAAGCTCAAACACTTTTTTTTAAACTGACAAATAGTATGATGAGTTATGTAATATTTTCTATTGATCTGATCTGTTTGTTTTAGCACACAGCACACCTGTTGATATGCCAAGCAGAGGACAAAATGAGGACAGAGACAGCGGCATTGCCCGGTCAGGTATCTGCTGCCTTATTTGCCTACTTCTGTAATTGTTACACTTCTTTAGCCAAGAGATTCACTTTGAAATTTTAGGTTCCTTATGACCTATCTATCTAAACTTTTCTGGATCTGCTAAGCAATTTTCCTTCTTTTTTTTTTTCTCCTCCTCAAACTCTATATTAAGGAATAGTTTTAATGATATTCTTTGTTTACGGCCATGATTCTCTGGAGGTTTACTAATTTATAAGCTGGAGAAAAATTGGCTGGAGCCTTCACTAAAGCGAGAGAAGAGCAGAGGTTTTTGCACTCAGCAGGA